CTTTGCTGACAAGTGGCCCTGCCTGCATCTCTGGGCTGGGAGTGGCAGGCTGGAAAGAGGAACAGGGTTGGGGGAGAGAAGAGCACAACCAAGCCTTCCCCAGTCCTTCCCTCCACCGAGACCCTTCTCTTCCACCCGCATGCTCACACTCAGCAGGCCACACCTGCCCAGGTTTCTGACAGTCTTTAAGGCACAGTCTCCTCTTGTTTCTGGGACATCTCCAGGGTTGGGCTGGGAAACAGAGCCAAGGGCTTGGGCTAGTTCACCACTCTGCCTAACACTCATCTACCTGTTCATGCATCATTAGTGCCAAAGTTTCCAGAGAATGACCAGTATCATTGTGCCTTAAAGACTCAGAGTTAGACATAAAATTGTTTCACCCAGCTCTATTTGCAGCACTGTTTGTATTCATGTGTAAAACCCAAGTCCCCTCTTTCTTCACCAGGCTAAACCATGTGAAGTGCTCTCAGAGGGAGATTTATACTTGGTTAATGGTCATTTTTAAAATCAGCATTAATATCAGTAGGTATTATTCATTAAGGACCCTGTGCCAGGCACATATTTCATTTAATCCTCATAACAACTCTCTGAAGTAGGTACTGTTCTTATCCCCGATTTACCAAGGAGGAAATTGAGGCTGAGAGAGGTCACATAATTTACCCAGATTCTCATACCTAGAAAGGAGCTGAGCTGGGATTATAACAAGTCTTGGTTTTCCCACCCCACTGCCTCCTAGGCCCTAGGAGGTTTAGCCAGTAGGGGGTTGGCAGGAATCACAGGGTCTATTGTATATTGGAATCTTTTACACCCAAAGTCTTAGGAATTCAAATAAAGTAACCGGTGGCAAATAGGGCATTATAGCTCTAATCCACTGACTTCTCAATGTCATTGGAGGGACACATTCACTCAAGCTCATAATGGTGAAATAAAATCCTTGTCTCCCAGCCCCATTTCAGTGCACTTAATTAAATTACTAAATCACATGCTGCCTCTTTATTATGTGATTATTTCTTCAAAATCAGTTGATTCATGGGTTCTCTTTTTCTCAGTCCAATTATGGTTTCCCTTCTGAGTTGTCTAGTATAATTAATGTGCAGTTCTCCTTCCTATTTCAAGCCTAAATTGAAGCTGTCTTATATACAATTAGTCTGGCTTTTTCTTCCATCTTTTACTTTATGGTCAGTATTTATTTCTGATTTTGAACCTGTTCTGTAACTGTACAGAATTCCATGATACTTTGGCCTTCTAATTGAAGATGATATTTGGCTAGTTGGGCATTGTGGAGGGAGGGCAGTGGGAGAGGAAGAGTGATGATGGGCTTACCCTGATGTGCTTATTTCATTTTTGAAACAGACGTTAAAAGGAAATCAGTATCTAAAACTGGATAAGAGCTAGTAGTTTGAATTATGTTGGATTGTATTAGCTATTCTAACAAAGGCCCAGAATCCTCCTGCAGACGTGTAAATCAAGTAACTGGTTTTAACTAACTTTATAAATTGGAATTCAATTTGGGGGGAAAAAAAGGGTTATGTAGATGTTAAGAAATTTCTGATTTAAAACAGATTTAATATGACAGATATTTTATTCCTGTTTCTCTAGTGCATAAAGAGAAACTTGAGAATGGTAGATTTCCTCAGACTACATCAATTAGAAAAAAAAGGTTTCTTGCATATTGGCAAGCAGAATGGCTTCTACTGAAACACATTTATTAGATATTCAGTATTGAAAATGTGTTCACCTTGCCTTCTCCTTCCTGCTTTATTTTTTCCTTTCATGATTTTTGTTTTTGTCTTTCAGATTCAAGATGATTGGAAGTATGTTGCCATGGTGATTGATCGTATATTTCTGTGGGTTTTCATTCTGGTGTGCATTTTAGGGACAGCAGGATTGTTTCTGCAACCTTTGATGGCCAGGGATGATGCATAAGCACTAAACTGTGTGTTACTTATGAGGTTACTTATGTGTATTGGGGGAGAGGGGGCTCACTGTTTTTTTAATTTTATTTTTTGTTGTGGTAAAATTCACTTAGCATGAAATTTATCATCTTAACCATGTTTAAGTGCACAGTTCAGTGGTATTAAATATATTCAGGGCTTCCCTGGTGGTGCAGTGGTTGAGAGTCCGCCTGCCGATGCA